CATGTGCCAAACGGCAATTTATCCACTATACCTTGGCGTAAGACCGGTGTTAAATACGCCAACAATGAAATTTATTTTGATATTGTTGAAGAAATTGATGCCATTGTCGACAGGTAAGTTGTGGTGAGTGGTCATGAGAACTCTCAAAATATTCGGATAAATTTTGATACATTTTGGATTTCGCGCTCAGTAATGGCTCGATAGTATCATCAGAGACACACGGATCAATACAAGCCAATTGTCGATTATCTGGTAACTATTCGTTAATGATTTGCAATTTTTTGCAAAGTTGTACGTAGCACACTTGATATAAACTCATAATTTATACACCAAAGGCATGCCAGACTTGACTTTAAGTTTTATCAATCCTAATGTTTTGGATGACTGCAGTTTTCACCCTTGTGTCAGATATAACGCATGGGAGAAGGACAAGCTGTTATCTTTTATACCTCCAGATGGGCATTTTCAATTAATGAGTTACAGGTGAGGAGATTTTAAGGTAAAAAAGGGATGGAGGTGGCATCGGGAGGGTTGAATGTAAATAGGGAGCCTGATAATAAAAGAGAGAGCTGGGAATGAGCAAGAATGAGACGTGAGATTGAACTTTTGTTTCGGATCGTAGAGTTAATATTCCTCAGAATTATGGCTTGCCAATATTTGTAAAGCCACAAATACAAGTTGGAACGAATGGAGGTATACATATATTATTTATTTATTTATTTATTTATTTAATTTAATTTATTATTTCATATATTATGTTTCTTGCTAAGTTTATTATCAATTCCGAACAGGAAAATTTGATATATCGGTAAGTCTCCGCAACACCGGCGGCAAAGCAGTGGAGAATATACTTCTTGAAATTCCTTTGGGCACGTCTGTTTCCAATATCTATGCGACTTGCAATGTTGGATCGTATATATTCGACCCTGCAACTAAGGTAAGTTGTTAATTCGTGCTGAATCAATGAATGGACCTGCAATAAATTCAATTGACTTTACATGATGCAGTGTGTACGTTGGGACATCGGGAAGATAAATCCGGGGGGAAGAACCCCACTATTGTCGGGTGACTTTAATACGACGTAAGTGTTTGAGGAGTTAAAAGCATATTATTTTTAAATTCACATTATGTGTTGATTTTATTTAAATAATTCTACTTAGTGAAGGATCACCAGAAACTGGTCATCCCATCTCAGTACATTTTACTATAAACATGTACCCACTCTCTGGATTAAAGGTTGACGCTTTGAAAGTTTATGTTGAAAGCTATAAACCATACAAAGTATTTGCAATTTTACTATATGATTAGTTTACTGTGTTTTTTTAGACGACTACAGTTTCGCTAAAATGAATTAATTTTTATAGGGTGTACGGAGCTTAACCAAAGCAGGTAAGTTCCAAGTTAGGACGTAATAACTTATCCTGAGGTTACAAAAACGAGTGTAGTCACCACGATCTTAGAGTAAAATTTAGACATGCAGATGCAATTTCATCCTGTAAAGTTTTATTAACTTATGATTGTACGCGCTCATTAATACATCACCGCGTAAAAAAGCAAACAGTCACAACACATATTGTCAACAAAGTGAACGTTTTATAATATGAGAGGCTGATGACCATTGACATTTTGCTTATTTACAGCCGCAACTTATACACGAATACAGTTTTTCATTGGGGTAGTTTGCAACAAGTGATCATTATTATGAGAGGCTGAAGTTAACTAATTTGATTAATAATACTTTGCTGACAGAATTTACGTAAATACGATTACAACTTTAAATTCATATCATGCTGAGATAATATGATGTCAATAACATATTTACCGCGAATAAATGCCGAAGCGTGTCTATACTCAGTTGTTCATGATGACCTGCAGATCCTTTTTTAAGCCAGTTGTTTCTTGCTAAAATGATAGTATCCTACACTATCGTTCAGGTGAGCTTTTGAAATAAGAAAATATGCTACGTACGTATCGTTTTTTACAGAACAACGCGTAAATGAGCCAAAGAGCGGTTGATAACTCAGGCCCTGCTACTACATATACTTAAACTATACAGTTGGTGACCTTTAACCCTCTTTGTCGCTGCGTGAAAGCAGTATCCTAGATAATTATTCGCCTTCTTGATTCTCTACCGCGGGATTAAGTCGTATAATTATGTTAGATCATCATAGTTGTAACTTCATTATTTGAATTAAGGCTTCCGTATTATTAAGCGGATCATTTCAAATTACGTCATTTAGCAATGAAGCCAAAAAGGAATATATAAGCATTTTTGCAAGTGTTATTGGTAGAAATTGACATTTTAGCTCAAATTCAAAAAAAAAAAAGTCCAACAAACTAGTTACCATCCTACCATTTTGAATAAGTCACTCACTTCTTTATATTTGGCATGTGTCACATAGGACTCATGATTTGAATATAAGGCGTTAGTTGATGCGAATTTTAACGATTTCAATGAGCTACCATTTTCAAGGCCTGCAACAAAATTATGATAGACTGATTTGTAACTTGTTTCAGCTGGTAAGGTGTAAGCAATTGAGTAACTTGGTTTACATTTTTACCCGGATTTGTAAAACGGTTATTTTCGGTTTCCATTGCGGCACTCTTTTCACATTACCATGAACACGCGGTATTATATCATTCATCACCAGGTGATTTCTGACATTTTCCAAATGAATGTGACCAATTCCTGACATACTGAGGTATGTTTCTGACAAAGAGGCGTATTAATATTGCGATCTCAGTAGTAAAAAGTTTTTTATTTTCCTTTAGACATCAGCCGGCAGTTATTTCTCCACCATGCATTGCTTTCAACTGAGCCATTAAATATACATCTTGTTCAGCTAGAGAGAGCTTGAATGCCTCATGTAATGCAGCAAATTTCTCCTTTGGAATCTTCTTTGAGCAACCACAATTGAAGCCTAATTCCAAGAAATACATGGTTTTTTCATATTCAGTAGAATCATTATAATTGTAATTTGTCATATACTAATACAGGTAATCATATATTATGAATAACTCTTTATTTTTTTACCTATTTTTTTCTTCCCTGATTATGATGTGTTTTCTAGGTGATTGTATCTAATGGGACACTTGATGCTGCTGGAAGGAGTTTGAGGACTGATTTGGCCTTTACTTAGCTTCTTGTGAAGGATCTGGTTAAGATAAAAGGCGAGTCTGCTACATGGTATGCCAATTAAAGCAACAGTTATTCATTCTTTACAGTATCTACCCCGTTATTATTATGTATACATTACAATTTAATGCATGTGAATTTAATATTAATATTAGTCTTAATAACAATAGTAGTAATAATATATTTATAATATTGATTAATAATAACAAAAATTATAAATTTCATAAGAAGGGAAACAAAAGAGTTAAAAATTATAATAGCTTTACAGACATAATCGTAATGTAATGCGGACATGCATAATAACAATTGACTTGTTGTAATTAAATTCAACTTGCGTTTAAGACGTGTTGACTTTAAGGCTAAACATGACGTTATCTCCAAGCATTTCTATTTTAACTCTTAGTTTTTGGTATTAACATGGAAATCAATTACGTTACTTACTACTGTAAATACCTTTATCCAATTTTCTCTAAACGCGTACTTAATAGTATCTCCTAACGGGTCTGTATTATTTCGCCCACAATGCATTTTACACTACCAAAAAAGAATAACTTCGAAATAATGGTCGGTGAAATAATTGCCTCCCCTTTTACCACAAGCATACATAACATCAACCACCTTCAGCAGTAGCCAACGCATAATTAAAGCGAGTATATTAGCATGATTAATTTAGGCAAAGTTAATAATGCCCTTGTAGAACAACGTTTATCTTTATTTTTCGCGAACAATCTTCAAACCTTACTATTTCTATTTTTCATAAAAATGTAATTAAAATCATGTGCTCCTAACGATTATTATAATTACAGTTGTCTTTTATTAAGCAAGCTAAGATGCATTTTTAGAGCTGCTTTCATATTAACAATTGACTTGGTAAGTCCTTTATTGGGCAAGCTACAGTAAATTACTAAAGCTGTTTCGATGTTGACAATGAAGTGTAGCATTAATTATTTTCAAATTGGTGTACGTTCGTCTCAATTTCCAATCCTAATTATAATCTTGTTTATACAAACATAGTCTCGACATTAATTATTCGAACTGGTGAAGAATAGTAACCGGTGTATCTGATAGCGCGCTTCGCATATTCGATTATGTGTGAAGACCTAGTCGAGATGTCTACCATACCAAAAGATCTGTGTCAAATTTAACATCGGTTCTAATTTGTATCAGGCTCAAGGGACAATAATGTCAGGTTATGAACTAGCGTATCCGGAATATTCTTGAGCGCGATGTAAAGATTTGCCCGATATTTTATAAAAAATCTCTGCGCACGTGCATTGTCGATTACTGTCAATTTTACCTGTAAAAAAAAACTGCGTCACATACTCAGAGATTTCATGTCTATGCAGCAGAAAAAATGAATTATACTCAGCAAACAAAAACCAAAGGAAGAAAATCTCGGAAAACATTCAACTGGATACAGTCCCGTATCAAGCAGAACGTAAGAAAAATAATATTATCGGAAATATAAATTATTTATCTATTTATTTTCGACAGTAAACGTTCAAACTGTGTCTTCAGCATTGGGCATAGCTGGTTTTTTTGTTCACTTACGTTGAACCATGTAAACTTCTTATCTTTGTTTTTGTCTATGAGCAGCCTGTCTGATCATGAAAATATGCCAAGAAGCATACTCAACTCTTTGTGTCGTGATTAAGATATGTACGTGTTGCATTCGCGTATACTCTACATATAAAACTAGGATATATTGTACAACGAAGAAAAATATCTCGTTCACATCCAGCATGCAAATTCAGCTATCGAAACTCATTCTACAACTTTATGAAGATAAATAATCGCAACTTATTAATACTCTATTTTAATGCTTTGTCTCGTAAGTGTTCTGACTCATGTTAAATTCACTATAGCGTGTCTCTGTGTAGTTGGTGACGAAATTATACTCGTGTCAGTGTATAGGCTTATCTTTTCGTGTATACAGACACATTTTTGCTAATGACATAACTTATATTCTTCTGATGCAATCGGCCATGCTCATGCCGACGCCTGCAATATATATAAGTAACTTTACGTGCAAGAATACAGCATCAAAAGTAATTTTAAAATACATAATAATTATATTTTGTGGTCTTTCTCATCTTGCACATTGTCGAGTCGATTAATCTGTGAGAACAAATGACAGTCAGAGTTTACTCTGTTAAATCTCTAATTGACAAGCTAATGACTCTTTTAGACTTTAGTATCTATAGCATATATATTTAATCTTGTATACGTTTTAATTCTAAATTGCTAATTAACCTGCAATTTCTGTCTATTACTACCGGCAAACTATTTTCGATGTCCAAATGTAAATTGGAGAAACTATTGTCTAGTCTAAACGCGGTTTACTGTCGCATTTGCAACCGGAATAATCGATGGACAAGTCCTTTAGAGAAATTATATTTCAACAAGATTATTTATTATATATATGAAGTACTTAATATTAACAATAAACTGACCCAATTAAAAATTAACGGCACCAAAACGCGAATAGCCAAGATTAGGTCCCTTAACAAAAGTTAAGCCTTTAAAAAACGGGTTATTATATTACAAACACTGGAATTCAAGGAAGAAAACTTGCAGTAGTTTCGTATTATTGTGTCATTTCATCCTTGCAGCAACGTCATTTGGTATATAATCGTTTAATTTCTTGCGTAAAATCGTAAAGTAGATAATGACTACCAGATTTTCCCAATTCTCTAATTTCCAGTGACAAAAGACTCGACTATTCAAATTGAGGTCTTTATTCAGCACCGACTATTAAAATCCCCCAATTTAATACGCAATGATAAGCCACCTCAGCCATTGTGATTCTGACGATCACGTCATCAAAATGATCGATGCACTAGATCTCTGTTTTTCCGTTCTCCATCATAATTCAGAGGTGTTACCCTGTTTATTGCAAGTCAGTTGTTTCAGTGTTCGGTCGCTTGACACTTACTATACGTTATGTGGATATATATATTAGTATCGGTTCCTGTAGTTTCTTTGCTGATTATGCTCGGGAATCTTGTCAGGAAAGTGGCGTCAGGTGAGAATAATTGTATATATCAAGTGGCACTATTGCTGATATACTTGATCAAAATATTGAGTAGCAATTGTTATTAGATAGTTAAGGCTCATTATCTCTCTTATCCTTTTTATCCATACCTTCTGGTTTAACGCTCTAGTCAAAGACACATATGTAGCATGGGAGAGTCTAGCTAGACTGGGAAGACTGCGCCCATGGGCATTTACTATATTACTTAACTATGTGAACCCATACAGTAAATCAGTACGTAAGTATAATTGTATAACATAGATTAGCCTTTTTCCCCCCCTTGGATATCTGAAATATTATCATTTTTTCCTGATTTTCATTGTCGATTCGCCCATTCTTCCCTTCACTGCAGACTTTCGTGTAACTACATTAGAACGAGGGCTATGTACTGCAGTGATGAAAGTAATGCACCCGATCCAGCTTTATTTTCAACGAAGAATACTTTGGTCCTTGTCCATTACTGTTTACTCTATACTTAATTATCTGGCTAAAACCCGTATCCTAGGAGCAAACGCGCACACATAATCCATTCAATAGTATTCACGCGGGGGCATTATTCACATTTGGCGAGACAGTAAGTGCAATGGCTGTGTTTAGTCGGCTCGGGACAAAAAGTCGGGCGATACCGACAAGTGCAAATATTGAGGTGAGTATTTAAAAGATAACGAACAGGGTAGCGTGTAAAAATATATGGTGGTATGCATGGATGCAAGTTTCAATATAATAGGTGATGTTTAATCGTGGTGATAGTTGGAGATTACTAATACTAATGGAAGTTAAAATTTATATAGTACTATAAGAAAGCACGAGGTATCTATATCAACAATACATCTTTGTAACAATAAGTGATTCACTATTTTACTTTATTTTATTTTTACTTTGTCTTATTTGTTTAATTTGTGTATAAAAAATTTTCTTTAACATTTGCTATCAAATGTCACTACATTCTCCCCCTCCCCCCCACCACCACCACCCCACTCCATTTTATGATATGCAAGGGCTCATCACAGCAACAGCCGAGTTTCGTCCTGGCGAGCTTGCAGGAAGACAGGAGAAAACTACAGAGATAACCATCGTAGATTCATCTTTGGATAAAGTCGCAAAGATGAGTATTCAATGGGTTGTTGACACCAAATGAGAGATGTAAATTTTTAAGAGAAAAAGAGGGGTGGAGGGAGGGAGGGGGGAGGATATGATATCACAATCAAATAAATGAGACTCGATATGTATTACTATTACATTAGTGTAATATATAAATATATATATTAATACATACAAAAAATAGATAAGGCATATCTTGGACCGGGGCGTGTCGGAACGGATCTGATCGAGTCAGTTGACTATGTGTACCAATAACCCAAAGTTTAATGACAATAAAATAAACAACTTTAGATATGACAAATATACATGTATTGTAATTTGTTGTATTGAATCTTATTTCTTTTTCTGATTATCTCAATACACCCAATTATGACTTCATATCAATTCACTCTCATGCTAAAAATATCCAATTGGCCATGGGAAAGCTGGTTCTTTTTTTCTCACGCTCATTTCAATCGGGTTTGTCTTTTCACGTCAACGAGGAGAAATAGAAATGATGCATGAGATAAAGAATATGTTCCTTATTGGTATGTAGTTAGATGTCTATGCCGATACAACAATTGCCATTATAACAATAGCTGTGACACATATATTGTACTCAGAATCTTAAACATTTTGTGACCAGTGACTGTTATTTATATTTTAGTATTATTATTGTATTGTTAACTCTTCATAAACATGAACTTATCAGCATTATTTATGATTGCATTTGTATTCTCTTTCCTTGTCGGGAAGAACCTTTTCATACGGTGAGGCTAAACAATACACCGATAACAGCACATAATGATACGACCCCTGATTTATATGCATACCGTTTTCGTCACCACACACACAGACCTCCCATTTTTGCACAGCATGTTTCAGGGGAAAAAGACAATATACAATCTATTTGACAGTAAAAAAAAAAGAACTACAGTAAATTCGAAAAGAAAAGAAAAGTTTGGAACTGGTTAAATGGTAAAAAGAAAAGAAAAGAAAAGATGGAGAAAAAAAAATACTATGATCAAAGGCTATACAACAAGTACGCGAACTCTTTATACACACGTAAAGATGTAATAACTCTAAATAACCGAAACAGTAAGAAAAAGAAATAATCAAACATTATAATGTTCGATGTATATATTGCTATTCGTAATTCATGTTAATTAATCACTTATATTTAATATTGCTATTCCTCTCTCTCTCCCATCCATTGTATTTGTACATATTTTCCTGCTTAATAGAATTTGGCCATTTTTGCGTACAAGTAGATATATCCGAGAATAGCCGCACATATCGGAATACCAATGACTATAAACGGAAAGATAATAGAGATTAGTATCGACATTGCAACTTTAGTTTTCTCCGCTTCTTCACCGTCCTTTAACCCTAACCCTAACTCTAACCCTACCCCAACTACCACGATACCCACGCAATCACCCAAACACATACCTGCGGCAATACTCCACGTACGGCTTTTCTTTCCAACTATCTGACTCTGCGTCGGCGTACAATTTTCATCCCCTTCTATCTCATTCTCAATCTTCTTATTCGTCCATATGCTATCGTCGGGTCTACCAACAAAATCCTCGGGCCGTCTTCTTTCGTACTTGAACGTCTCTTCAAAGAATGCTTTGGCACTTAGACTAGGTGGGAAATCAGGCTCGGGCATTGGTGCTGTCGACGCCGTATCGCTGCGTTGGAAATACGGCGGTGGAGACTGATCGGACGACGGAGCGAATGAAGAGTTGTGCCGGGCATAGCTGTGTAATGAGAGATAAGCGGGCGATGCTTGTTGGGATGACGGCGTATAAGAATAGGGTGGTGGATTTGATCTATGACTTCCAATGCCATTCACATAATCTCTAATCTGTCCTTCTTCGGCTTCGTTTGTAGCCAGGATGCTCCAACTCTTTTCCTCTTTTAGTTGGGGGACAAGACCCCTATTGTTTCTTCTTCGATTGCTTGAATACAGATCGTTATTGTCTTCATATTCGACAACGCTCCATGAGCGTTCGCTTACCAGCGGAGGGACGAAATGATGTTGATGCTGATGCGGAGGATAGTCTGTGATTGCGTTTGGAAGATGTGCAAAGGTCATTGGAGAATAGGAAGAGGGGTTTGGTTTCTCGATATTGGATGGAATAGGAGAGGGAGAGAGAGAACGCGGTACGAGAATGAAGGAAAGCTCACCTTGAGACATTGATATTGATTATATTATGTAGGATTATATGTATTCTTTCGGTATGGTGATTGAATTGATTCGTATTTGTTCTTTGAAAGACTTGATAAGATCACAGTGGGGGCAGGGGTCTTTATAATGGTAACAAGAACTCTGTGAGAGTTTATATTATATCAATTTATTTTGGTTTGTGTATATTTACGAATTCGCCTAGCCTAATACTTTTTGGTCAGTATATTTGGGGGAAGAGTAAGTTTTTGTCGAGTTGGAGAAAGTTGAGTAGCAGATGTGTTGCCTTTATAAGATAATTCACGTGATTAGTTTTAGCCGCATGATCGATAATTTTAATTTAAATTTATGGCGCAGTTTGAACAAATGCTATTACTATTACTATGTAAATAAATATATAATAAATGGTTTATTGTATATTAATATGAACAGTCTGCTATTTTTGTTGGGGAAAAAGTGTACAAAGAAAAAAGAGAAGGTTGGGATGGTCTAGTGAAAATAGGGAAGCTTGACATGAAACTACGAATATGGCCAAACGAACAATACAGCAGAGTTTGCGCAGCCAACTCTTAACAATTGCAGGTGATAATTGAGAATATGGTTGAATAGATACAATGACCAATGACAAAGCATAAAGCACACATAATACTATGGCATGTATATGCTTTTGTATATGTTGTTATCTATTTATATATGATATTTATATATTTATATAAAGCAGTTAAACAATAATAATTATTATTATAAAATAGAATAGAATTACTGTATATTTCACAATCATCACATTACTGTAACTGTTATGTGTAATATAATTAATACCGCAGCAAACACAAATCCGCTTACTCTGCACAGCACATTGTGTGACATCTAACATAATTTATATTTGGCTTCTCAAACAATGAAAGTTCATCGCCGGAAATGGCGCAGAAGATGGTTGCGATGTGGATAAATATCTATATCTCTAAAATAGGCAACTAAAGGACTGTTTATATTAGCTAGAATTTTTGTGTACACAACAATATAATTGATAGGTTAGTAAGAATTTGTACTTTTCTGCTTCCAATCAGTTAAAAACACGATTATCATCAGGATATGTACGATGAAACGGGAACTGAAAAGCTCACTGCAGTAGCACAACCGTATGATACGACAAAACCAAACCGTCTTTACCTTAATCTTGTGTGCCTTGCTTACTTGCCATCGTCAAACATTGTGAAAATACGTGCAACCGTTACCATCGCCGGTGTACGATATCCGAGGTCACACATATTACTTTTGCTCATATAACTCCACCGTTCTGCCCTTTTTCAACTCGCAAGTTGTCATTCATACAACGCATTTTCGCTTTTGTACCAACGCATATACCTCCGTTCTTCACACCGACTCTTGTCGATTAATGATCCTAGCGATATCTTCTCACCGTTCCATCTACATCTGCACAAATTTCACGATACCGACACGGATAGCCAAAATCTGCCAATCCACATGGCTAATTGCTTTAACTGTGACTGTACATCGGGAATTTTTTAAGGTTGCTGCAAATGAAATAATAACACAAACAAAAACGAATAATTTATTCTAAATTTGGTCTCACACAGGGTTCAAGCGGTCGTTATTACCAGAAGTGTAATTAGTACATAGTTTTGAAAGAGTAGAAAGGTCGAATGACGTCATATTAATACCGATGTTAGTACGAATTAACACAACGAGCGAAAGGTTTCTACCAAAGCCTTCTACTATAAAAATAAATGCAGAGAAATGTTCAAAATACTTTTGAGACTTGAAACTTGATATCAAATATTGTACCAAGTGCGAAGTTTGATTACTTGAGTCAATGATATTAGCATTGCGTGCTTTAAGAACAGCAAGCCCACTATTTTGAAATAAGCCTTTTTTAAGTAAATAATAGCTGTTCCAACGCTTAATCTGTACAATTAGCACTGGTACCCAAATACTTTGTCAATATTCCGAATCTAGAGGGATTGTTGTTATCTTATACATGCCGATTATATGAAATCTACATGTGAGATGATAATATTGACTATAACATAAAGTAATCATTTACCAAACATAAACTTAAGGCAAATAAGATAACAAACAGCATACGTTGAAAGTCTCTTTGTAATGCGCATAAAAATTGAAAATAGCAAAAATTCTCTCATTAATAGGCAGAAAATTAGATAATGCGCTTTGCCAAAAACTGACATAAGCAAGCTCGTTGATTTAACCGTACACAGCCTTTTAATCGACGTACGATAACGTGTTGATAAAGTTACCAGACACAAGAATCAAGGTTGATAGCTCGATCTAGTATTCTTTTCCTGATAGTAAACATAATTAGTATAAATACTAGTCAATAAGATGTGATAATAAATATACTACTTATTTACTAAATATTCCCTGCGAATGGTTAAATGTTATAATACTTTTTATAGATTATTTATTTAAAAACTAGACGGTAACTACCAAATCAATCAAGTCCATACTAACTTTGTCATCTAGACCTATCAACTGTTTACGATATGTAATGAATGCACCTTCTTCCGCTTGCAAACGATAAATTTTGCCAACCTTTTTTCTTTGCTTATGATCACTAAGGGCAGTAAAAATTGTATTATCAGAGTAGGTGCCGTAAATGCACCATGATAATATAAACATATATCAAGCAAGTGAGGTAAAAAAACTTTTTTATGAGCGGTATAAACGACCTTCAAATACTATCCTCCAATTTGTTGTATCGCTACAGACGTAATCTCTTCAACTTTTGAGGTTTTCTTTTCTTTTTCTTTAACTGTTGGTGGAGTGAATGATGGCCCATAGTTGACAAAATATCGAGTCGCTCTCGCAAATTGGACATATTGTGACAAGATTAATTGATAGCTATAGGTTTAGCGCATTAATTCCCAGACGTGTAAGTACTGTCTTAAACAAGCGCGTCGACTAGTAATAACATACAACATTTACCAGCGTCTCTTCGCTTATCCGTTTATTTTAATTGTTTTCTTCCAACATTATTTTTGTTTCCTAATTAGTTATAAAAATAATGTCCTGTACTGCGTGTATCATAGTATGGCATCTATTATCTCATCCAATTTATTATAATAATAACAAAATATTCATTCCAGGTCATGTATATATAATTTGTCCCATTAAAACAGCTAGCTTGAAATTAATTTCTGTCCGTGTCATCAATCCTTAACAGATGACACATACAATTGTTAAGGAAAAATTGGCCTCTTTCTTTAAAAGCTACAAAGCTTTTACCGGTATAAGAAACATAGTTTATTAATAATTAAATCGTTCACTATTACTTGTTATGCAACCGACAAAATAATTTTAAAAGGTTTTCCCGTTTCTCTGCGACATGGAAATATTAAATGACATACGTCTTTCAAACACAGTATTTAACAAAATTTACAAAATTTTAATACATGTAAAGTCTGGATTATTAGAACGCCAAATCACAACTGCAGAGGTTTTTTGTAAAAGAAAAAAAAAAACAAATCAACCACTTTAAAGTATCTCATAAAGTTTTGGCTACATACGACTTGTGGTTTTTCAAATATCATGTCGACGGTTACATGATAATAAGGAAGTTTATTTTGAATTCTTATTTTATATCGTCCATTCAGAGTTTGTGAATTCGGTTAAAATTCAAACCATTTATGGAAATCAAGTAATTCATAGTGTCTTTTGGACGTTCGGTCCAGCCGATAGAGTTTGACATACGTTATCCAGTCTTTTTATTCTGCATTGAATTTCTAAAACTAATAAAAATATCCAGATATCACTAACGATGTAGCAAAACGGGTTAACTAAACCTTTAAATAGTATTTCAGAGTGATGGTCTATGAAAGTGGATTTTATTAGGCACACATGGGGGGCCTAATTTACTGTGCTTCTACGACCTAATAAAACTGATCTATGAAAATGATGCATTGGCAAAATTCTGTGACAAAGAAATTGGGTCCTTATTTCTGGCGGCCTGGAAGAATGTGGTTCAAAGCTTACTTCATTATATATATACAGGCAAATCTGCCTTATAAACAGAAAGCAGAACCCATAGCATTACAGTAGCATCCGACAAGTATCCATCCGCCCACTTCCAATCATCTCAGAAGTAGTTTGCAATTTATTACCTACACTGGAATTTCTTTCACTGCATGGTATGACATTGGCTCAATGTGTTGTCAGCCTCAAAATGAGCATAAGGGGAGACTACGTGAGAACAATCATGATTATTTGGGGCAGACTGCAACAAAACCAGACAAAGTGAACATTCTGTTATGTGACATAAATGTGTGGCTGATGTGGCTGATAGTTAACTAATTTGACAATAACATTTTGAAAGTAATAATGGTGCTTGTCTATAATAATGACAATAATAACTTATGGAGTTGTTAATTTTAATTCTCACTTTATCATACCAAAAGGTGAGGAATATAAACTATAACAGGGGTTAATATAGGATTACCTCTATATATAAAACATATTAATATGAAACTAATTTACATTAAGTCCACTATGGAACCCAAGAATTACAGCACAATTAGAAGCATTTTAAAGAAGGAACAAGGTGAAAAAATTGCATCCTATATTTTCAAAATCAATAATACCCAAACTCTCCAGGAATATTTAGATCAAGAAAAAATTACTTATGAAATTTACCAAGAAGAACGAAAAATAATAAGTATTAAGAAAAGAAAGCAGGATGAGGATGCACCATTACCAAATAAAAGGCAAAGATATCTGAATGAAAAATTTTAATACAAACAAACTTACTATCTATTCAACTTAATAAAATTTCTAAACACAATATTAATGTTTCATTCTCACTATAATTTATAAAGTTCTTTACTTTTAAACAGTCGTTTTACTCTTTTTTTTTTTTTTTGCTTAAAATATATTATATTAATTATAAATATCACTATGAACTCTCCTCGTTGTCTTCCTTGTGAAGGAGTAAAAAAATTTAAAAGATTTGGTTATGCACATACTGGTTTCGTTAATGA